CCCCGCCCAAAAGGCCAGGAGCCAGAACTGACATCTGGAGCATTGACAACATAAAATTGGAGCCCAACATTAGGCAAACCAAGAATAAAGATCGGCTCTAGCTCTAATAGCATATTAAGAATAATAAACCTTGAGCCTAACTTAATACCAAAAGCTAGCTCATGAGGGAGGATTTCGAAAGACCAAATAAAGGGACTGCAACACATACTCTCAACTAATGTGGGACTCTAACACCTTGCTTTTCGAATCAGCATCTCTAAGCTCAGGTTTCCCTGTTGCATGCAGATTAATATACAAGTAGTTCAAGGGCACACTTTCCAAGTTTTCGCTTCGTTCACCAATCTTAAAACGTTGCAACATTGTACAGTATATTCAGCATAGGTAAGCCTAATGATTTAACTAGCAGGATCTAAGGTGCTTTTACATGCTTTTCTACCATACAAAGCCAACTTTGAAAGATACCCAATCTATATTACCTATACAAAGCCAACAATTCCCAATTTCACTATTGACTCTCACATAACCAGTATTAAAGAAGAAAGTTGAAGCAGAAGAATAATAGGAAATATACTTAGAGTAATCATCTCCGAAAAATTGTCTTTAAGAAGCAACATCTTACCATCAAGAACATATTCAATTGCGGTTAAAGGGGTTCCAGGATTGAGGACAACCCCAGCTTTAGCTCCCAAACTTTTAATCTGAACCAGAAATAATTACGAAGGTGGTCAAGAAAAACTTAAATAATGTGAATAATGGATAAGACAGGAAAAACATAAGAAGCTAACCATGAAGTTAGAACTTTCTTTGGGTAACAAAATCATAGTATTCTGAAATGTCACCAGCTGAATTTCTGTATCATATAGGCTTCCACAATTACAAATTACAGCACGCCATTTTCAATATCATGGAACACCCAACCATAATCCTATACATTTTTTCTAGAAGGAATAGTTCATTTTAAATAGAAAAAGTAGATCTAATGTAGAAGGTAATCAGAAAAAGTAAAAAAAAAAAAAGAAACTCTCAATAAATAAGTATTCGATATAAGAAAAACTAGCACTCTACATTTTCTTTTCTAATCCCTATGATGTGAGTTTGGATGCATTGCGTCATGAAAAAAAGTGTTCAAGAGAGGCATTATCTACAAGAAAAGTAATAAATTTCATCACGAATAATTAGTCACTTACTCCAGCAAGTTATTTTTAACTTATATCCTAAAAGAAAAGCATGCAATAAAGGTAAATGAAAAACACCAGTATTTAAACTTCTGATAAAAGACACCAAGAATCATGGATTGATCTCACAATCGAAAATTTATACTAAGTGAAAACTTTAGACTGGTGGTAATTCTGTTACATCTGCACTTATGTATCACATTCCTAACAATCTTAACTTAAGAGAAGAGGTTTGCAATCTAATTCCTATGATGAGATAGTCACTATTGACAAAAAGGAAACTCGTATTTGACAAAAACAAGCATGCCTCTGAGCATTCATGGGTCTGAAGGATAACAGAACCAAGAGTAAATCTTTTTAGATAAGTGATGCCAAAATTTCAGAAGATTGACAACGACACCGAACAAGTCCCACGTACAAAACTTTTACCAAGGGTAAGGCAGTTGGTAGGCCTAATCCCACCAAAAGAAAGCTTTTAGCAAATTTGTAGCTTGCTCCTACAGAAAAATGCAGAAAATTTCATAGAAACAACAATGCAATTCTTTGTTTGAGAGATCACTTTTAGCCGTTATCTTGAGGCTCACACAACTAGCTGCAGCAGCCAAAGAAAAGCCATGCATCAATACCATTAAGATAGCTGAATCTGAATTGCATACTGTGCACTTATACCTTCATAACATTTGTATATGAGAACAGCAAAAAGCCCTTTACTGTTTGTATTTGATCCAAAAATATATTTTGCATGGGCTAACCTATCATGTAATCCAAAAAAGTAGGGATGAAGAGGAATTCCTCAGGTTGTAGTACACCAACACTTTTGAAAACATTGTTGCTAAGATTTTTTAAGACTCCTTGTATATATCAAACAAAAGAAAGAAAGCGAGAAAGAGATATTCTTACCTGATTTATTGTACGATGCAAGTGGATGGTAGAAGATTGCTCACAGTGAACACTGACGATATCAGCACCTGCTTTTATGAAATCAGGTACTCTCTGGTCAGGTTCGACGATCATCTGCAATGGTCCGTTGAAATTGAACATTAGCAAAAGCATTCTCATGCCTATAGACCTGAAATTAGTTTTACCACATGAACAATGGGAAATACCAGATGCACATCCAATGGAAGATCAGTGATAGGGCGCAAGGAATCAACTACAAGAGGTCCAATAGTTATATTTGGAACAAATCGGCCATCCATCACATCTACATGAATCCAGTCGCAGCCTGCCTGCTCAACTGCTTTCACCTAAATGCATGAAAGGTACAAGAGTAAAGCACTTACTGCTATGATTGATTAATCAGCTTAACTGGCATGTTTATGAGAAATCAGAAACAAAAAGAAGAAATTCATAAAAGAACTTGACCTAAAAGAAGGAAGGCAAAATGTGTTTACTCAATATATCAAACTCGTAAATGTAATAGCAAATTTTCTCATATCTGGTTTCCAAATAGAAGTACACCTTTATAAGATCTATATATAAAAATGGTAAAGCAAGGGATCCATGTGACAACAAACCTGCTCTCCTAATTTAGAAAAGTTAGCAGAAAGGATGGATGGAGAAACAATAATATCGCTTTTCGAAAACTTATCCACCCGAGAAGAAGCCTTCACCACAGTTTGAACTCTCCTCCTGCATTTATAAGCAAATATTAGGAGCAATAATACTTGGGCAGATTTATGATGCTATTGTAAGGGGCATAGTTGCAGAAAGAGAAGCAACTACTGGATAAACTTCCTATTAAGAAAGGAACATCCAGTTGTTAGCAGGAAATGAAAACAAACGGCTCGTCTCCAAAAAGAAAAAAAGATGCATAAACTCAGCTGATATTGCAGACAATTGGCTCATTTTTACAACTACCTAAGTAAATTTGCATCACCAACTGAGCATAATCTCATCGGAGAGATAAAGAGCTAATAGCAACTGGAATCAAATTCACGTTAAGATTGGCGCTTGTTGAAAAACCTAGAAGTCACAGTGACTTCAACAAGAATTAATCAGAATGTCAAAAGACCTTGGCACTGCCAAGACGCATTTCCAAATGACTTTACATTATCAGTCAATAGCCAATTGAAGAAGGTGGTTTCTTGATGCTGTTAGATACTAAATTGTCGCCACAGGCAATGCTAAAGAGAACATGAATTGCATATTATCCAACTTATAATGTTGACTCTTCAAGACCATTTTCTTACCATGTACAATAGGATATGATATTGAAACACTTCCTTCAGGCTTTACTAGAACCTTACTAGTTTAAGCTCAGCAAGGCATATTCACAAACTTAAGAGAGCAAAAATTCCTGGTATATCTTTATCGTTCTCTACATTACATATCTAAAACCCCAGTGCAAAAAAGTCTTCTCCTTTAGCCTTGAAAGGAACTCAGAGCTTTACCAACTTTCATCAACCATTTCCTATATTTTTCTGACCAATAAAATTTCAAGGGTAATCCACTCAATATGCAGCATCATGATACCTCTGGTGGCCCTATATCTCTGATAAACACATTCAGTTCCTTATATGCTACCTTCTTTCCCTGTTCAGACCATCCGCAAAAATTTAACCATTTCCCTCTAACACTTCAAATAGTCATAAGTTAGTACTGCCTAATACTATTTCAAACTTAACTGGATATCGTACTAACTTATTATTTCTTTCATACCATGATCTTAAACGTTTTTTTCCTTCTAAAAAAAAAAAAACAAACTCAATATGATAATCTTCTCAAAACATTTTACTCTAATAATTGCCAAGTCAAATTAGGTCTTCTTTATCAGTAAGGATGAGAACATCAAAACAGCACCAAAAGGAACACCCAAAACATCAAGGTGAGATTTTTATGTGGAATTGACTGATTCAAGACTTCCCACAGCAGACTAGTAGTCAAGTTTTCTTTCCAACATTAACTTTTTAAGTAAAAAGATTACAAGCAAACGATCAAACGAATTGGGGTAATAAGGAATATAAAGACTTAAATTTTTTAATAAAAACCTGGTGAAAGTGAGTGAATTGGGCTTTTGAAGCTTAAGACTCCCGCCAAATCCATTAATTTGGGATTGTAACAGAGTTGATGAACCTACACAAGAAGCTGTTGTTGCCATTGAAAATTTTCTTTTTTTTCTCTTGCAGCAAACTTTCTCTTGTTTGGGGAATTAAGGAGGAGAAAAAGTTGGTGCTTTGTCAATTTGAAAGCACAGGAGCTCAAAATTTCAACTACCCTCTAACTTTTGAGACTTTCAAGACAAGAAGAACCAAAAGACTGTTATTTTTGAGGAAAAATCAAGAATGAAATATCAGATTGACACGTGTCTGATTTGGTTTTCGCATAGCGGCTTCGCTTATCTTCAATGGTTGGCTCTTCTCTGTTGCTGACTCAATTTGTAGGGACTATTGGGACTGCCCCTCCATTTATCGCATGATGGGCACAAGCGCAGAAAGAGAACTAGAGAAGAAAACCCCCAACCCAACCTAAAGGCTAAATGCCAAAGCCAAAAGCCACTTTTGTTTACTAATCTTTGCATCGGGAATGACGCTACAACTTTATAATTATAATTAATAATTACTCTCTCCATGGTAATTTATGTGATCTACCTAATAAGAATTACCCTCCGTCTCAAATTATTTATCGTGATTTCTAAAAATAGTTATATCAAATTATTTGTCATTTTAGAAGTTTATAATAAAATTAATTATTTTTTTTCATTTTATCCTTAGTAGTAATGGTTCTTGAAGATGGAGATAACACATAAATAAAATAATATTCAATGAACAGATATTATATCTTAAGATATAAATAAAGGTAAAATAGTCAAAAATATTTTCTAATTAATGTTTCTTAAGCGCCGTGTAAAAGAGAAATATGACATATAATTTAAGACGAAAGGAGTATATTTAAAATAATTTATAATTTATAATTATTTATATTTACTAATGAGATCAATTTACAGCTATACAAATTTTAAAAGTTCTTTTTTCTGAAATTGTGTGCTTATAAGTTTCTGTCTTATTTTTGTGCTATTTGTGTATCATGCCCCTTTACAATTTTAAAATTAAGAAAATGACCTTATTAAATCTCTTATGTGTAAAAGACAGATCTCTTACGTGTAAAAGTAAATCTCTCATGTGAAAAAAAAGAGATAGGGTCATAAAACTAAAAACAAGTTTGTAAAGAGCCACAAAATCAATTGACTCCTTATTTTTTGGGTAACTAATAGTATTACTTATTATATATAGATATATTGAATTTTATTTAAATGATCCGATAGTACAATCTTTTTTATGTTATTGTTTACCCGAAAAATCAGATAACGTTAAATTTAGATATGGTTCTAAGGGTATGCGAATCTCTTTGATACAAAATGACAATACAGGTATTTTTGCTATAAAATGGGAATGATGGGCGGGAAGACTAAAATGAGTTAGAAAAACAAGCACAATGAAATCTTAATGTATCTTGGAGAACTTGCCTCTATTGCAGTCTATCCCCCTTTTTATAGTAGAGGATCACTGCTTTATCTATAATAACATAATAAAATAATACATATAGTGGAGGACCCATGATGATTTGTCTCTTCCTTGATTCTCGCCAAGATTCTCTCCCTCGGTGCGGTTGTAACGGCTCTTATCTGCGAGCTTGGCACTGGCTCGAGCTCAGTGTTAGGTCGAACCCCCAGTCTTGGTTCAAGCTCAGTTCTGCCTTGGGGCATCGATATTTGGGGCCCGTATCGATCGGTGTTGCCCCGTAGTTCGATTCGAACACGGGCTCGATAATGATATCGAGTTTTGCCGTTTATAG